AAAAATTTCCCCGCTAAATCTAGCGGAAAAATTTCCCTGCTAAATCTAGCGGAAAAATTTCCCCGCTAAATCCAGCGGAAAAATTTCCCCGCTAAATCTAGCGGAAAAATTTCCCCGCTAAATCTAGCGGAAAAATTTCTCTTCAGGTCAGGTGACCCCCCGAGGTCACGTGACCCCCGTGGTCACGTGACACCCCCAGGTCACGTGACCCCCACGTGACCTTGGCGAGGGGGTCATGTGACCCCTCCAAGGTCACGTGACCACCCCTCCCCCCCGATAACACGTGGACCTCAGTACCCTTCCCTCCTCCTCAAGAGCTGCGCTCTAATTCGGCGTTACAGGGAGTTGTAAACGGCTTTCATTTTTTTTCCTTGAAATAATCAGAAAATTGCTATTAGCTTTTGAATCAGATGAGGGTTGGTGCTGAAACTTTGGCATCCGACGCAACCGACGCTACGAGTTGATGAGATCAATCTGAGAGCGTCAAAAGTACACCATCATGGTGTTCGTCATTTTTCTGTATGTGGTCTATCATTGCTGAACCACTGATAAACAGACAAGGCGTAATGACTTGCACCTCGTAGCGTCAGCTGCGTTTGAAGGGCAACTCCGTTCCATACTTTCGATTTTGGGATTATGACTGTTTTTAGTGCGGTCAGCGTCCCTGAATTGCAAGGTGTAATTTTTTTTTTTCGTTATTGTGCGTAGTTTTAAAGATATCGACGCCTCAAAGTTTTGTTTGGGGCGCGGCCAACAAAACCGAAACTAGCCGCTCGAGGCCCCGGCAACACTGGAAATCAGCCGCTCTCTGAACGTGACATCAGGATTGTTCTCGTTCAACGAGTACGCAGGCCGAGCGCCACCTACCTCTGTTGCGCTAGCCGTCTAAAAATAGGAGGTAAGCTGATTTTGTTTTAATTCTGTATACGTGGTAGTTATCCAGCATATGTAGCAACAGTTAGTCCGTATACCCAAAAGCCAGCGACTGGAAAACCCGTGAACTCGTACATTGCCGTACTCGGCGGCCACCGCCGTGCGTGCGCTATGCCGTACTCGTCGCTTGTATACCCAAAAGCTAGCGACTGGAAAACAAGTGAATTCGTTCGGTGCCGTACTCGGCGGCTGTCGCCGCGTGTGTGGTCTTCCGTACTCGTCGCTACGCCTAAATTGTCATCTAGGCTCCGTGGATGGAGCGGCGTTGCTTTACGCCGCGCTGCCGGTGACGTACAGTACTGGGGGCCCTCTCGCTTTCGCGCTACGGGTCAGTCCCAGACACGAAGGTTTGAGGCTCTCCGGCGCTGGCCGCTGCACCCGAACACACGTGTGCTGGGCTGTACACGATTGTTTTTAGAGCGCAGCTCTTAGGGGCCCGTTTCCGGCTTGAGCGGCGTCGGCGTCGGCGTCGGCGTAACCGCGAGGTCATGTGACCCCCGAGGTCACGTGACCCCCTGAAGTCACGTGACCCCCTGAGGTCACGTGACCCCCTGAGGTCACGTGACTCCCCTCAGGTCACGTGACCCCCTGAGGTCACGTGACTCCCCTCAGGTCACGTGTCCCCCCTCAGGTCACGTGTCCCCCCCTCAGGTCACTTGACCCGCCTCAGATCACGTAAACCCCTGAGGCCACGTGACCCCACTGAGGTCACGTGACCCCCTGAAGTCACGTGACCCCCTCAGGTCACGTGTCCCTTCTCAGGTCACTTGACCCGCCTCATATCACGTAACCCCCTGAGGCCACGTGACCCCCTGAGGCCACGTGACCACCTCAGGCCACGTGACCTCCTCAAGCCACGTGACCCCACTGAGGCCATGTGACCCACCTGAGGTCACGTAACCCCCTTGGGGACACGGGACCCCCGAGTTCACGTGACCCCCCTGAAGTCACGCGACCCCCGAGGTCACGTGACTCCCCTGACGTCACGCGAGCCCCCTTAGGTCACGTGACCTCAAGGAGTCACCTATCCCTCAGTACACTTCCACCTTCCTCCTCAAGAGTTGCGCTCTAACCGGCGTTACAGGGAATTGTAAACGGCTTCCATTTTTCGTTCTTTTTTTCATCGGGTGCGTAAAAGCCGAAGTCCAAAGTCCACTCGTCGAACAGCGTTGACCCACACCTTCTCCAATTTCCGGTCCGTCGGACACTTGTGAAAAAGCACCTCCGTGCTGCGCAGCGGGTTGTTTGAGCAGCCCACAGCGCTACATGTTTTAATCGGCACTTTTCGAGGAACAGCTGGGCAGTCTTGGGCGCACCGAGTTGCTCGCTAAAACGAGTCTTAAAGTCCTCACAAGCAAATAAACAAAAGGCTATACCGAAGCTACACGAGCTACAGATAAAAGCAGCGGCTAAACACGCCAATCACAAGCCGAAGTAGCGGTGGTAGCGGCTCAAAGAAGCGCACTCCGCGCAACGCCCGGACCGGAGGAAAAAAAAGAGAACGATACGGACGTCACGGCCCAATGTTGCTTTAGCGATCGGCAACCCGCTGGCCGCCCGCTAAGGAGCAGCGGCTCGCGGCGGGTCGCATTTTTGTTATCGGCATTAGCTGAGAATGCGGCGTCCTACGGACGTAATATTTTGGCTGGGGTCATATTTTGTGTCACTACAGCGATGCCAGTAATTTATTTCATTTTGAGTTTTAGCCGGAGTTGCCCTTTAAGCTGAAACAAAGTATAAGAATTCCGTTCAGGTTCTGTCTCATGCACTCGCTCGATGCCTTCCGCCGAGCACTGGCTGCACGTACGACCAAGCGTTAAAAATAAAAAAGAAAGCTCGCGCTGGGGATCACCAACTACTAGCACCGACATGTTTCGGTGCTGCAGACTCAAGTTTTTCTTTCGTGATGTCACGATCAAAACTTTCCTTGCCGTAACGTCATCAATTGTATTCTTGTAATGTTTGGCTACTTATGATCAGCTGCGAACTACAAGTTTGTTGATATGTGTAAAAATAACAAATGAAGCTTAAGTCGCTCCATCCTTAAACAAGCATCGTGACAGATGGCACTCCGATGCTGCGCTGATTTTTGTCGATGAAAGAAATATTAATAAAAATAAAGACGTCACTGTGAGCTTTCGCCCACTCGCGAAATGTGACCACATCGACGCTTTTGCTCGCGCATGTCGCTAATAGTTGACTTTCGGTTTACGTTTTTATGATGTAACACAATCTGGTGGATCAAATTTTGCTCAATATAATGCCATGCTTCATTTCGCTTGGAGTGAGATTGCGATAAAACTGGCGACAACGGTACACACAATTTAGGACATAGCTAGATATGTCGTAAGTACGCTTCCCCATTCGTTCCTATTTATATGCTGTGGGACTTCACCTATCTCAAGGCACGGTGAAGTAGAGCCCAATTCCTTGATTGCTGTTAAGGACAGCCGGGTCTTTTCAAAGATTGTTGTAAGTTCCGATGGAGAGGAGTGAGCTCTGCAAAGCAGTGATCTCGACGACGCTGGTTTTTGGCTCTACGCCACCACGATTTGACCGCGGGCCAAAAGAAAAAACAAGAAAAAAAAACTTAAAGGGTCGGCGCTGCCTTACTAGGCAGACTCACCGGGAGGGGCTCACGCTGCCGTCTAGGTAGAATCGCGGGAAGGGCGAAGATTCAAAAATAAAGTAGTGTCTCTGAGGACCAGAGTCTTGCACAGTGAGGATCTCCCGGCCATATCACACGTAGAATATTAGGGCTGTAGAACATCATCGAATATTTTTTATAGATTTAGTAGGTAATAATAAAATTAAGAAATGACTGTTCAAACCATATGTAATAAAATGTTTAACAGAATAAACGTGCCGGATCTTGTTTGTTTGTTATTTTCCCAGCGCTTGATTTTATCACGTAACGGAGAGCGCTGAAATATCGAAGGAAGGTATCTCCAGCGGTAAGGGATGCCATCTTGCACTGACGTCACACCGCATACTTTTGACCACCATGAAAGAGAGAGAGAGGGAAGCTGCCTCTGTGGGTATTCTGAGTGGCGGCTTCATATTCTATTATCTTCTGGGAAGAGAACTGCGACGTCTGGGAAAATCTGGGAGACACAAAGGAGGATCCTGGTAAGAGGGAAGCTCCCTCCCCCTTTTCTGGTGGCCATCGGAGCGGTCTTCGGGTGACATCACGAGGAAGCCATGTATACGTCACCCGCACTCGTCATGTGCAAGCCACTTTCTAGAGATTTTAGCACTGACGCAGTATCCCACATCTGTGGCACACGTAGACTGGCTACCTTATATTGAACCTTACAGTTAGCGCTAGCTTTCAATCACACTTAATTCCATTCACCGGATTATCAGTGTAGGGCTCACCTCCGGGTGTAACAATACCTTAGGTTATGAGTCCCAATATCTGCTGGACGCTTGTATCTGGTCAATACCGCATAGAATACAACGCCTGCGCCACCTGCCCCTAAACGACAGCAGTAGTGGATCCACGCAGCAGCGGTAGTGGCCGCTTAGCTTCCGTCCGCATCGTCGCCAGAGTGTCGCAGAGCGTCTCACAGTGCACACGACGCTAGGGCGACAAGACGGACGCGTCTGCCGGTTTGCGGTGTCCCTCGTCGAGCTTCGGCGTTTTTCAAGCTTGCGGTGGGTCGGGGATCCCCTAACGTTAACAGTTTAAACCCCCCCCCCCCCCCGCTCCTCCCAAGAAAAACAAAAAAACAACAACAACAGCTGGCTAGATGGCGCAAGCCGCCGCCCGATTCAAAGGGCTCATATTTTTGCATCTATGCAAAGATGGCGTCATTTGCAGGCCTTGTCTTTTAGGTGGTACTAATCTGGCATCAAGCAAGCAATGATAGCCTCAAATCAAAATCTTTCAGAAATTTCTCCTCACTTTTAATTTAGGTGAGATGTTGATTCGAAGCTGACGCCTCCTGCCTTCAAAGCCGCACCAAATCGTATTCTCAAGCTAGCATTTTCAAATGAATTGTTGATGCGAATTATGTCACTCCTAATGTGTGAACGTTTCATTTCTAGACGAGAAGAAAGTCAGGATGACGAAAAACAGAGTGGACGGCAGCTGGCACGTGGCACTCATAACTTTCCTAACTGTGCTCGTCACGACGGTGGCCCTAAAAAATTCTGGATTCATCTACGTTGGCTTCATGCAAGAGTTCGGGATTGACCGAGAATCTGCCTCATGGCCGTCGAGTGCCCTTGGCGCAGCCATTCATGGTGGAGGTAAGTTCTTGAAACGGGAAAATTACTTTTCAAGATTAATTGATTTACCTCACGAATTACTTTCCCGAAAATACGAAAATGTATTGAAGCTGTATTACAAGTTATCGCGGGTTCGAATGAGCCTCCTCTCAGACGACTTCGGCGAGGAATAGTGAGGACGGGCGATCCGCAGCGGTTAGCATCTTACGTAGCTTTTTCTGGACAACCTTTCATTTCATTTCTTTTCATCTCATTTTATTACCTTAAGGGCTTCTATGTGAGGCATTACATAAGGGGGGTACATTAAATTCACAAAAATTCACAAAAATTGGAGAAAACATTGAATGAGAACAATGAGAAAGCATCATTATACAGAGATTACTCAAACATCTTAACAAGCTCCTGCGTAAAATGGTTTTGGTCACGTATCGTCACCAGGCTTGAGGGCATGCTATTCCATTCAGAAATGCATAGAGGGAGAGGTGAGTATTTGTAGGCGTTAGTTCTAGAAAAATGGGTTCGACTTTATATGGATGATCTAGGCGAGAGGAAATATGATAAGCCGGGAAAATAAATTTTTTTGGTGACCATGGGTTGTAGTATAGTCTGTGCATAAAAGAGAGCCGTTCGTTTTTTTCTTTTACGAGTGCCGAGTGTATGGAGAGATATGGACTGTTTTAGACAGGAAATGCTTTTTCATAAATAATCGCGAGTAATAAAACGAGTGGCGCGATTTTGGACAGCTTCGAGTTGGTTAATGAGATATAATTGATGAGGTTTTCATATGATGGACGCGTATTCCAGTTTCGTCCGATCTAACGTAGTGTATGCTAAACGTTTGACATATGGGTCTGCGAGATAAAGATGTCTTAAAAATCCTAATGTTCTATTTGCTTTAGAGGAGAAATAGTCGACGTGGCACTTCCATAATAAGTCTGCAGAAAGGATTACTCCTAGATGTTTAAATGAGGCTACACGTTCTAGTTGACAAGATGAAATAGAGTAAGTTTAAGTGACTTAATTTTTTTATCTGGAGAATGACATAATTTTAGATTTATCCAGATTAATCACCATGAGCCAAGATTCACACCAGGTTCTTAATTTTTCTAGACCGTATTGTAGAATTATGCAATCATTGATGGAAGAAATTTTGCGATAGAGCAGAAGGTCGTCAGCATACAAATCTCACTGTCGAAGAGAGGGAAGCAGCAATGTCGTTTATATAAATTAGGAAAAGAAGTGAGCCAAGAACTGAACCCTCAGGGACGCCGGAGATAACATTCAGGAGAGAGGAGGTGGCATTATCGACAATCACAAATTGAGTGCGATGAGACAGGACGGCCCGAGTCCACAAGACAAGGTTACTGCTGACGTTTAGATGGAGGAGCTTAAGTATTAATCTGTTATGGGGAACACGATCAAAAGCTTCTAAGAAGTCTATAAATATTGCATCAGTTTGTTTTAAAGAGTGCATGTTGCTATGAAGATCGTGGGTGAGTTCGAATAATTGGGTAACACAAGACAGTTTCTTGCGGAAGCCATGCTGATTAGAGAACAGCAAATCGTTACTATCGAAATGTGACATTATGCTGCTGAAGACGATGTACTCTAAAAGTTTGCATGACACACTGGTCAATGAGATGGGCCTGTAATTTTTTAGCTCATTCGGGTTACCTGATTTGAAGATGGGTACTACGTTAGCATTTAGCCAATCAGACGGCAATTGGGAGAAAGCTAGGGATTGCTCGAAAATAAGGAGCAGAAATTTGGCGGAAGTATATTTCGTTATTTTTAAGAGTCTGGACTTAATTTCGTCACAGCCAGGTGAAGAGTTCACAGGGAGTCGATCAATAACATTCGAAATTCCGTCTATGGAGAGGTAAATATTTTGCATGACCGTTGGGCTTTCGAAGCTAGATAAGCAAGGTTCTGGAAAAGTTTCGCGTGTAAAGATCTCACCAAAATACGTGTTAAAATTGAAAGCACTTACCGCAGATGGTAATGGGCTATCTTTTGGATCTACGGTAGGAAGTTTGGCGCCCCTGGGTGTAGCTAGAACTAATTATAAACCAAACATTTTTGGGATTTTCAGTTAGTATCTTTTTTAGGTCAACATTAAAAAACTTATGTTTCACTGACTGGATTACGCGTTCGCACTCTGGAAAACACGTAAAAATGAAGCCAAATTTTATCAGTGTTTAACTTTACAGCCTTGCGGTATAAACGTTTTTTTCTTATTTAAAATGCGCTTTATTTTCACTGAGAACCAGGAAGGAGATGAGTCTGAGGTCAGTATCTTTTTTAGGAGTAAACTGGTTCGCGCAGCTAACCAGGGCGTCCTTGAAAATAGTCCAATTGACCTCGACCGAACGGTCATTGAAAGAGTTTCCGAAGTCTGCGAATGCCCGAAGGAGAGTGGAATTCAGATCCTCTATATTTGCCTTAGGGTAGTCCCAAATGATTTTCGAGGTCTTCTTTTTGTCTGGTACCTTTAATGAAAGATTGATGGCTATGACGGAATGATCGCTAATCGGCGATAGGAAATGTATGGAAGAGATATGTTCTAGATGAGTAATAAAAAAACGTGAAAGCCGTTTACCAGCTGTAACGCCGAATTGAAGCGCAGCTCTTGAGGAGGAGGAGGGAAGGGTACTGAGGGCCACGGTTTCTCGGGGGGCAAACGTGACATAGGGGAAAGGGTCACGTGACTCCCCCCCCCCCCCGAGGGCACATGACCTTGCTGGGGTCACGTGACCTCGGGGGAGGGGGGTCCACGTGGGGAGGAGTCACGTGCCCCCCCCCGAGGTCACGTGAACTCGGGAGGGGGTCACGTGACCTTGGGGTGTCACGTGACCTCGGGGGAGGGGTCACGTGACTCCCCAGGTCACGTGACCAAAATTGTCCCGCTAGATTTAGCGGGGAAATTTTTCTGCTAGATTTAGCGGGGAAATTTTTCCGCTAGATCTAGCGGGGAAATTTTTCTGCTAGATTTAGCGGGGAAATTTTTCCGCTAGATTTAGCGGGGGAAATTTTTCCGCTAGATTTAGCGGGGAAGTTTTTTCGCTAGATTTAGCGGGGAAATTTTTCTGCTAGATTTAGCGGGGAAATGTTTCCGCTAGATTTAGCGGGGAAATTATTCCGCTACATCTAGCGGGGAAATTTTTCCGCTAGACAGCAGGGAAATTTTTTCGCTAGATTTAGCGGGGAAATTTACCCATAATGCACCGCGCGGTTACGCCGACGGCGACGGCGACGGCGACGGTGACGCCGACGCCGCTCAAGCCGGGAACGGGCGCCTAAAAGCTGCGCTCTAAAACAAGTCTAATGTTGAATCGCCACGTGTTGGGTGAGCAATTTGTTGATGAAGTCCAAATACAAAAAGCAGGTGCATAAATTCTAAACGCTCTAAGGGGTTACTACATGAAGGAACAACAGAACTGTCCGCCGAGTTAATACCGGGAAAGTTGAAATCTTCGGGTGATGATGATGTCGCAGATGTCGTGGATGCTAGGGCAACATAGACTTCGTCTTTTTTGTGTTTGTAGAGATGACCTTGAGATTGAGAATAAGGATGTAGCTGAGTTTCAGACGTCGTTCTGTCTATTTCATGGCTCTTTTACGTTTTGATAGTTCTTCTGTACCCTCGTCTCAGGTTAATCCAACATGGTTAACATTCACCAGCTCGCCTACACCCTTACGATATTTGCTATGCTATGCTATGGCTGATGTCGTAGCCTGAAGCCGATGAAGCAGCGACGTTCGAGGGCCGATGGTGTTGGCTGGCTGTAGCAAGGAGGGTACGTTCATGTTCGTGGCCTTCGTGACAAAATCTTTGACGGTTGATGGTGGATTGCGAGCAAGATCATAAAATACGTTATTGTTTACACCTCGGATCTCAGGATCCTCAGCTTCTTTTCGTTGGTGGCTTCAAGGTCGGCGTGAGCGATCAGGCTCAGAAAATCCTCGGCGAAACTGGTGATAATCTCGTTTGCGCTCTGGGTCCTCATTCAAAGCAGGTTCTCGGCCGTTTCCCGTCGATATTAGTTGATGAATTTCCGTCTCAACGCATCCTTGCAGGCGGTCCACGAGGTCAAGGCAGTCTCGCGATTCTCGAACTAGTGCCTGAACGTTCTTTCTAGCGCGAGGTAAAGAGTCTGCAGGCGCTGTACGTCCGTCCTTTGGTTGTTCTGAGCCACCAGCTCGTGCTGCTGTAGCCAGTCCTCGACGTCTTCATAAAGTTCACCTTTGAAGGGCGTGGGTGTGCGTGCAGCGACAGGTAGGACAATGATAGGTGGGGTATTCATCGTCGCGCTCTTCTTTTTTAGCTTCTGCAGCAGGGAACCGAATTCGGGGGGTTGCCCTTAGAACGGCGGCTTGTTCGGGAGTCGGCGTCTTCTGCGAAGGGTAGCCTTGCTGGACTAAGCACCTTACTTGGCCGGGGTGTCTTCTGAAGGGTACTTTTTCACGGGCATAGCATGGAATAACCCGCACCACCATAAAAGTATCACAAATGAGGCGATGAAAATTAAAGCAAACTAAAGGTTTACTGGAGCAAACTTCTGCCCAAAATAAACAAACAAAAAAGGAAGGCTAGCGTCACAGGCATTGATGACGACGTAGCAGCAGGGTCGAGCGCTGGAGCGAGACTGGCCCCGGCTTGCCACGCGGAGCCCCTTTTGTGGGCTTCTAGCACAACCGGCGTAGAAGGTTCGGCGCGTAGAACATTTGAACCTCGAATAAGCAACAGAATCCTCGAATACACCAGAACGCGCTGGTTCAGGCATCGAACCTCGTCCCTTTGCGTGGGCGCCAAGCACGATCACCATTGGGGCACTGGTGCGCTGCCCACTTGGCTAGCTGAGCGCACGGCAATATCGCACGTACGTCTCAAAATAAGACGTACCCATAAATAAAAACCATTTTGTGCGTTCCTTATATCGCGAGGCCGATTTTCAATTTGAAGCGATTGCGTAGCAGGCTCATATCTTGGAGCCGACGTCTTAAAATCAATGTATACTTCGAAAAAGCAAAAAAAAAAAACAACAACTATGTTTTGCAACGTTAACACCGCACTATTGTTTCGTGTTTTCTATTTCTGGAGAAATTTATTTTTGTGACTATGCAGGCAACCAAATGTTCCTCGGGGAGTATGGTATTCATCTAGAGGTCTTCAAGTGTTTTTTTCTTTCATCTATCTCATTAATTCGCCCATTGACTGATACCGTAGTTCTTCCAGATTCAACAAGAAAAAAGTATTTTTTTTATCTATTTTCTATATTTAAGTATACTTACATACGTATAGGAAATTTAACTAAATTTAACTATACGTACATGAAAAAAGCTGCGACATGCTCACGGTTAGTGAATTTTATTACTGTTTTGAAAACTGATGCAAGGTTAGCACTGAGTGTATTTCGGAATTTAAGACACTGCTGCTTGAAGAATTTCGTTCTTTACAGGGGTTTTCGTTGGACTTACCCAGCGGTGGTTCTGCGTTTACCAAATGGGCCTCCTCGGGAGCGTATTGGTTTGGGCCGGCATGATTGCTTCATCTTTTGCACCGAACATTACCTGGGCTACTTTAACGTTTGCTTTACATGGTGAGTATATTACCGTTAAGATCTTGTCTCTACGTAGACCCGTCACTCTCATAGGGCCGAATTACTCAGACATGTCACACATTCCGCAGCTTATCCCAGGCAATCATATAGAAGGCAAAATTTGGTCATCCAAATTATTCCACAGAATGTCGACCAAATCGTTCCTGCGAAAAATATGCATCGTACAGAAAATAAAGGTAGACGTCATATTGGTCTCTGCCAAGAGGGTAGTTAGAAAACTCCTCACGTTCTGTAAAAAGGAGTTATGATTTTCTTCAAGTAAATAGCTTCTTGATTATTAAACTTAAATGTATATCATAAAATGTAAAGGTCCTGGGGTCATGGCAAATCACTAATATATGCACAGGCGATCCTGTGCCACGTGGCCAAAGCACGCAACTATACTGCACACGCAACTGCGATTGTAAAGAACACTATAAACTAAAAAGATCCGCTGAACAAATAAAGGCAGAAAAGATATGACTGAACATAGACAGCTTTGACAGAAAGTAGTGGAAAAATATACGAGAGCGTTATGCTGCTCGAATATTTCTTTAATCAGACTACATTTCAGTGGTGAGGGCTCTTCGTGCTTGTAAACGATTTATGTTGCTTCAAATGTGAATTGCAAAATATTGTAAACAGGTTTAAAAAAACTTAAACTAAAAGTTAATCATCATTGAAGTTCTTTTTTTTTAATGCGAAGCAGGCGCTGGGAACATTGTTATTCGTGGAAGCTTCAGCTAAGGCGAGAGCTTTCAGCATTGCTAAAAGACAAAGAAAACGTAGAAAGTCTGAGAACATAATTCCTCGTCCTTTCTGTTTGCCTCTATGCACCACCAACTCAACTCTCTGCCATCGCGCCACTGCTGTAGTGCTGGTATCGGCACTGCGCATGCGCAGATGTTGCGTCTCACGCGAATTCGGTTTCTGCTTACGCGCAATGCCCACACCGGGTGCGGGAAAGAAGGCGGGTTTGTGTGCAAGCAGAGCGATCATGTATACACCAACACCCGGAACTGACGTCACGCTGCCGCAGTGGCGCTGCTATTGGCTGGCAGGGCGCATGCGCAATGCCCACACCTCGTCAGGGCTTGCTTGTAAACAGCGCGTTGGCTTATGGACAATTCCAAGGATGGCGCCCCGACTAATGGGAGCCATATGCGTGCGCAGCACGTACGGTGTTCGCGTGGACGTAGCGTTGGCAGGCTTGCAACTGCACGGGCTTGCCTGCACGGTCGGAGAAATGGCGGCTTTCTGTCGCCCCACTTTTGCAAGCCACTATATTTTGCTGAAACATTGCAAATGTGTGTGCGTGTGTGTGGATGCGTATGTGGGTCTGTGTCGCGTGTGCGTGCGTGCGTATGTGCGTGCGTGTGTGCGTGCGTGCGTGTGTTTTAATATTAAACTTGATGCTGCAGGTGTTTCCACGGCTAGAGATTGCACAGCGCACAACTTCCGCTCCACTGCCGGCATCTGTGAACAAAACGTTTTATTTTTCCTTTGTTTTCACGTTGGTCACCACAGTCACCACATTTCACAATAATTACAACCGTTCTTTTTTGTATCGTGGTTTTTAATTAGTAATAATTGTTCGAATGGTTGCCATCGACAGAAAATATGGATAGTCATGTATATTAAGTATATCGTACAAACGAATTTTAAACCCTGAATTTAACGGGAAATTTATAGGCCCTACAGATGTAAAGCACCCAAGCAGTTGACGTGATATAATGAAGCTGAGTGATATATGGAATGTTTTTTGAAGTGAATCTCCTATTCCTAGAATTTTTTGCTGTTCGTCAGTCCGCGAATTTGTTCGCTAAATTTAGCGAGGAAATCAATGACACGTAATGCCATGGTGTCATATTACATCATGACTTGACAGCATGAATCACGTAACGTGAGGTTACAATTTCGTCGCTAAATTCAGTCAGTAGATAAGTCACATGTCCTGATGTCAGGTGTGGTCACCTCAAAGTATCAAGTCGTGGTCTCGATACCATGACGCGACCTTCAATTCCCACACACTGTGGGCATTGAAGGTCTCGTATCAGTTAATTTTGAGTGTGGAAATTAATAGGAATCACATTCTTTCTTCCTGAGACGACAGTTTTATGTCTTCTAAACAAATTTAAATTATTGCTCCCTAAAGACTGCAATCGATGTATTTTGTGCATTTGACGATCGAAGTCAATGGTAACTTTAACACTGAATATGTGTTTAACCGGGCGATTTTCATAAGATCTCCAATGTTTTAGAGTAACGCTTGATTGTCACGTCTGGCTCTAAGAAAGATTTAGCACCGAAAAGCGTTACGCACATAGGGAAACACAAATAAGACATGAGAGAAGGAAGTATTAAGCAGTGTTTGAACCTGCCACCTTGAGATTGTGAGCCAGGTGCTTTACCGACTGAACTATCGAATGAAATACTTGGTCTCGCACGCGAAAACAGGCCCCTTCGTGTGTCACGCGGTCGCGAGCCTCGCGGCCTTGAAAACGTACGGGCAGATATGGACAGTTCCTCGAGATCCTGCAGTTCTGCGCCATCTCACGGCCTCTGCGAGAAATGGGAGCGAATCTTCGACACCGTTGCTCCGAGGCGAGACGGCGCCGTTCAGACGCCACTCGCAATTCACATGGTGTAATTTTGCATAATGTTCCGCTGTTGTGACGTCGCTTGTGCGGCACAGCGTAGTTGAAGCTGTTGTCCTCAACGCCGCAGCTGCGAAATCGCGAGCGAAGTCTCATCATGTGAATCAGACTTTTCTATTCTTCCACCGTGGTCATTGCCTGACGAAGCACGGGGTCGGAGAACGTATTCGAGCTCATCGGGAGCGTAAGAAACAGCAGAATCAGCAGGAAGCGCCTTCGCCGGGGTCCTCCTCGCACACGAACGCCGATAAGTGTGAGGTTATATCACACACTCTGTGCTTACGAGACTCTGTCAGCGTGATTTTATCAAAGCTGTATGGCTTTCAAAACAATATTTTAGAAGTTTCTAGCTGAATATTGGTTATTTTGAGCCGTTAAACCGCTTTCAAATTGCCGAACACGTAATATCTTCACTGTGCCCAAACTTTCGAATTAAATCGACAACCAAATACTTATTAATTTTGCCCATAAATAAATGTATCAATCACTTCCTAAATGAATACTCAACTCGTCGTTAAATGCGATATTTAGTGCTTTTTCAATAAATTAATCTAAGATTTAATGTTCCGTGTAATACTAATATCCTTCGCTTGGACGCTGCTGTCCTTTTTATACCTAAACCAAAACAAAAATTACACAACGCAGTGAAATAGAAACGATAGATTTCTTATTGAAACAGATACATACTCGTACAGTGAGATCTATAAAAACAAAAATTCCGTCAAAATACTGCGCGAACCCGATGCTAAAATGTACATGAATCCTGGTTGATATGAAAGGAGAGGAAGCTGTTTTTATGCTACCTTTATTCGTTCAAATTCAACTGCTGCACTACAGTAGAAACCCTAATGACTCTTCGTACATGCAAAGAAAATACTGCAATAACGACAATAAAACTAGAATAGATTGATCGAAGGAAGCTAAATAAAACTGGGATACTTGACTTTCCACTGGTGTTCTTTAATATACTTTCATGCTGCAGGATTTGGAGTTGGAATGGTCAGCATCACACTTGGTATGGCATTGCTTCACTACTTCAGCAAGTACAGGGGCACGGCAAGCGGCATCATGTTCTCGGGGGAAACCACCTGTGCTCTCGTGTTTCCCGAGGTGCTCCTGCTGATACGGGACACCTACAACTTTCGCAGCGTGTTTTTAATCTACGGAGCGATAGCATTAAACACTACCGCTTTGTGCGTTCTTCTCAAGCGACCTCCCTGGATAAACCGGAACGGAACCTACAAAACAATCCTACCGCCCGAAAATCATGCTCAACCCACGTGCGAGATGCCCTTAAAGTCGGGTATAGAGGACGTCTTAAAAACCACAAGGAACGGCGAGAAACCGACAAACGCCTGGCACGTGTTCAAGCTGTTTAGGCAACCCGCTTTCTACCTTGTGTGTGCCGTCGCAGTGACAGTTCATTACTCTCAAATAATGTACCTGACGAGCATAGTTGACTTTGCAATAGACAGGGGCGCATCTCTCGAGCAGGCCTCAACTATCATAATGTATCTGAGTCCCGCTGACTTCTGCGGTCGCATTATTTTGCCACTTTTAGCCGACAAAGGCTACCTGCCTCCTAACGCGCTCGTTGTGTTGTGCTACCTTTTGGTGGGTATTGCTATGGTTGCATTGCCCCAAGTGTACTCGTTCGGGTCCATGCTGCTTTTGTGTGCCTTCATCGAAATAGGAATCGGCTGTGTTCTCACCATGAAGATGTTACTGATTGCGAACTACATTGATCAAGAACTCTACGCCGCCTCGTACGGGTTCACTGGACTGGTGATCCTTCCAGTGTTTCTTTGCAACCCTTTGATACTCGGTGAGTAAAGCATTTAGCCTTTTAGACATAAAGCGTCGAAGATATATTACTTTTTATAAGTCATGCAGAACTATTCAACCTTTCAAAAATTCAGTTTTTTCTGGTATCTCATATGAGAGTTAATGTTTATCACCCCAATGTCAATCAACTTCCGGTATATCATCAGGCACCGTCGATTTCGCACGTCAGCGGCAGACGTGCATGTGTATTTCGCTAAACAATTCATTTGGCTCTTCGTTTCACTTGTTTCAGTTTCGATGGTAACAAGACAGTACAACTCGTAACACCCGAGCGCCCACTAACGCGACGAATAGAAACAACCGATACCGACAACCCTCAAACATGTGCAGCATGCACGCGATGGTACGTGTGGTAGGCTTGCACTGTCTCGGTGCTCGTGAAGTAAGCAGGAGTGATTGTAAGCCCCCGAAGGATACCTCAGTGTACATGCTGCAAGTGTTTGAGGCGCGTCGATGTCGGTTTGTTCTGTTTGTCGCACTAGTGGGACTCGGGCATAAGAAACGCTTTAGAGCTTTGGATACAATTCACCGCATTAATGGGCTTGTGAAACGAGTGCGTGTAAACTGATTTGTTGGTCGCGAGGCTGAAATGATAGCTGACGCAGCATTTGCATCCGATTCGGAAATCGAATTGAACTGACATCACAAATGATGTTATCCCAATGCAAACACGAGGGTTGAAATTGCCTTATCCTCGGCATTTTCATACCGCTAGCCTAGCGCTGTTGTACGAGTGGTAACTCTAGCGAGCCCCCGCGCATCCCACGTTCATTCAGATCCTAAAATTTTATAATGAAATGGTTCTGGTTGGCGGTCAGAAAATTTGTAATTGGAACCATATGCTTACTTTTTCTAATCAAAATATCAATAAACAAGTTTCATTCAAATATTCGGCTTATTACGAATATCCCCCTATAATATGTTTCCCTTTCCATATAGCTCACCTGAAGCGACTGCCTTAGAGTGACTTTTACGGATTTCTTTTTTTTTTTAATATCTGCTCAAATTAAAATTATATACACTCTATATGCGGTGAAGAGAATCAGCCCTTTCAAAGAATATGGTTAGCATTATCTGGTGCACTTTGGCAACGAAATGAAGCGCACAAAGTTACGCTTCAAAACACTTACTGCCGATTTAAGTTCTTCAGCTAGAGGTGGTGTTGGCAAGCGACACTCAGACCTACAATAATAGTTAGTGTCACATGTTACTTTTAAGTGCGACGCATTTAGTGGATTGAGGTGGGTATTTGTGGCCTGCTTCGTGACTTTCAGGTATGTTAATGTGATTCTACCTCTGCCAAATGCCTTTGATTGGCGCATATATTTCTCAAAAACGACGTGAAAGAATTATGTTTGTTACCCAAAATTACTTTGATGCTTTGGCTAAACGTGCCTAGCGGTTTATCACCACCGACAGCATTCCAGGTGTATTGCGGTTTTCGTGCATTCACATTCAGATTCACTTCATATACATGGAGTCAATCCTAACGTGTCGGGGTGTAAGTGCATCTCCATCTTTGATCAGTGATCGCTAAAAGATGGATGATGTTGTCCTACATTACACGCAATGTCATATATAGACTTATGAAAACGCCTTCATAAGTGACGACTGCATATGAAAGAAAAAATAATGTAGACAGGTGAATTCACAACATCAGCAGTTCAGTATTCTGTTGATCAGGCTCAGACTTTTTTCAATATAATATTTAGCATGTTTTAATACTATTACTCGCGTGACTTTGCTTTGTCGGTCCAGGTAGGTTATCACATGCGTATTGTCCATAGAATATGCACTGTACTAATACTTGTCTCTTTTTCATTTTGCAGGTTTCTTCCGGGATTACCTGGGAGCATACGACGACCTGTACAGAGTCATGGGGGCAATTAGTCTTCTTATGGCCATACTGTTTTCTTGTCTTACGTGGAAAGAAATACGCACCCGTCAAAGAGTTAGTGTAAGAAGGATTGGAGATTGATTTCGAGTTAAATTTGCAAACCTAGTGCCAACAAATTTTGGTTCTGGTCTTAGTGTTGTGATTATTTGACTGCCAAGTTGAGAGAGTAATCTGAAGATTCAAGTTTTCTTTTGTTTTTGTTTTCCAAAATGATATGAACTGAATAAAACATATAATTTACATATGCAGTAAATCTTCCGGAATAACAAACATTACTGAAAGACGACAACGTTGTGTTTTAGCTCCCGGCATACGGGTTCAAGAAAAACATCTCGAGTGTCTGGCGCCTTTCTTTATAAATCGTATAGTTACTTATAGACCTTTCCAATGATTACAAAATAACACTCCAGCGTGCGATCTTCACAGCGCAGCACATCTGTGTTCGTCGCTTCGGAAAGCGAGCGAAGCATACGCCACACGCGCGAACACCCGAAATGGCACCGGCCACACGCTCTTTTTGTGGAAAGGTCTACAGCCCCTTCCCCTGGCAAATTGCGAGCGCTTGGCGCGCGCTTGCCGAGCCGATTCTTGTTCCCCTTACGAGATGCGAACGATCTCTCCGTGTGCCGCTTGTAAATCTGGATTCGGTGGGACGCTCGGCGACCGGCTCCTACTGATCCGTGGGGAAGTGACGGACCACATCGTGGCAGGGTGGAGAACCGGAGTGGTTCTCCGCCCTGTCTTTTTCGAATGAGTACGATCTGTAGTCACTCGCAGCTTTTCAGTTCAATACAGGGGTTTCCCCAGAAATTTAAATTAGGGGGGTGTCTAAATTTCTAGGAGGGGAAGATGGTTATGAGGAGGGAGGGAGGGGGGGGGGCATCTAGATTGGAGTAGTCGTTGCGAAATAAGGGGGTGTATTCAGAAAAACAAAGGGGGGGGGGGGGGTAGGTGTACACCCCCCTAGGGGGTGTGTAGGGAAATCACTGGTTCAATGCGTTCCCGCGAGGGAATGAGAGAGTTTCACGGCTTTTTTATTTCAATTGCTCGGTGGGATCTCTTGTTGTGCTCGCTTTCGTTCCTCTTGTCATGATCTACTCGACCGAGAATACTGCGGCGATGACGATGTTGCAGCTAATTTTAGGAGATCTAATAGAAAGCAGTGACAGCGACGAAAATACCAGCTCCTCCCAATGGCACTCAGTCGGTCAAACGAAGTTTTAGCGAACGCTGACTTTACATTGAAAGAAACTTTAGTGAATGGTCCGCCGCCGCGAAGCGCCGCTTACGCGGGGGCCAGGTGGGTTCACACTTTTTTAATGAGCTACCACAGACTGTCGTCGCGAAGCGCGTGAACGCACGGGGGCTGGTGGGTTAACACGGGTGCCAATGATTCGCTAAAGCGTCAATTCACTCAAATGATCGTTGTTCGCTAAAATGTCAGCTCCAGCTCGAGAGACGATGAGGCGGCCGTGCTCGGCGAAGTGTTTGCCAAGTCGTTCGCCTTTCCAGCGAAGAGGCCGAATTAAGATATGGCATTACGCCGAAGACGTTGTGCGCGCCTATTCTGATTTAGAGGTATGTCGTTTCTTCATTGTTATGTCTCTGTAAAGTAATTTAAAAGAAGACAATATGCCAAATACTTCGGAGATGAAAGTGGCCGCAATTGAATATCGCTTTTCGGCACACGTGAACGGTATTTCGCTTAATTGCATCCTACGGCTCGTGCAAGTTCTTCTAGTTATCTTCATCGGATTTATATAATTGCAAGGAAACATAAGTTATCTCTTACCGTCGGGGTCACCGTTGATCAACTAGTAAACAATCTGGGGTGCTTTCGATGCGCAGTTTATGCTTTCAGCTAGAGGGCAATGGGAACCGAAATTTAAAAAGCGCGGGCAAACGCTCTAAAAGCGATGCCGCTGGCAGCGTACGCTAGATTTTCTCCGCAGCGTGTGCGACTGGGATAGATCACGTGACTGATCACTCACGGAAGTGGACCGCTCGACGACCGCTAGCACGGAGCGCTCGGCATCTGCCTGTGGAAGGGGCTATTAGAGTCTGACATGCATGTTTTTATTTAATTAAATTCACTAGAGGTACCATCAAAAAGCATTTCATTACTGCATTTCTGTAGACCAATTTAGCACCCCGAACATGAAACTAGCGTCCAGCAATGCCAGCACCAAGTTATCTTTACTCTTTATATTCATAACAAAAGGAAAATAACAACTAATTTTTAATTTAGAAATAGAAAAAAACTTTTAGCCTTTCGAATCTGGTAAAGAAGGAAGACCACCGGAGCTGTACAATGAAAAGTAATGACCGGCCGCAAGTCGGCAAGCGAGAGTGGAAAGGCTGCCGCCATCTATGAGCGACGACGGCAACCAGGTACGTGGCTTGCCGCGTATCTGGCTGTCTTCATTTCTTTGCGGGGGACACAATCCGGGGGAAACTAGCCCTTAACACGCTCCGCTGTAAAAAACAATGGGAAATACCTGTTCGATACCAGGACCAGGAGGATTTTTTTTCAGCGTGCACCAGTGAACTATAGCTGTTTTTGGAGATTTCTATTTGCCCTTTGTTCCCCTTGTTCCCCCTCCATGGATTATTATCGTTCATTTTTTGTCCAGCTAACCTGCACGTTTGCATCAATTGCACTAACATTATAACATCAAATATGCAGGCCGTTCATTCTGGTTGGTGTTAGACTGGTCGCGGCTGATAAAACAGGTTTGTTCTACTGACGTCTAACTCATAGTTTGTTAAGTTCGTAGAGCGCTCCACAGGATATGAGGAAGTCCCTGGTTCGATACCAGGACCTAGCGGATTTTTTCAGCGTCCACCAGTCGCCTAGAGCTGTGCTGAAAGATTTGTGTTTGTCCTTTGTCCCCCTTGTTCCCCCTTTCTCCCCCTTTCCAGGAATTATGATCGTTTATCTTCGGTCTAGCTCGCCTGCACCATTTTTATTAATTACACTAACTTCAATTGAAAGTTATTGAAAGCCACTAAATCATCGCAGTTCACAAAATCTTAGAAACGCTTCCAAACTGGGTTTTCTTCTTTCTGTTGTCGAAACTTCGTTGTTTGTAAACCGCGGTGATTCAATAGTTTTCGACGGCGTCGAGAACACATATAGAAATCAAACATTTCAGTATACTCAGTAAGTTTTAATTACCCAAAATAATTAATGACCTAAATTAGTGAACGTAATTATTTTTCTAAATAGGCGCTTTGGCAGACACCCATAAGACATCGAACTTTTTTTTTTCCCCCTTCGCAATGCGTACTTTTCGAAGGAGCGATTTGCTTCATGTATTTTAAACAACCTGTATTTTTCTCGCTTTCTATAAATGCGTCGTACCTGTTCGTGCTGACGCCATATACCCCGCTACATTGCAGAAAAAAGAAAATATCACAGAAGCGCGGACTAATTTTTTTTTTGTTTTTTTAAACACACGTTTGGAACATTCTATGTACTTTGCTGACGACGGCAGAGGCGGAGAGCTTTTGGAAAGGTGAGTCTACTGCGTGCAACGCGTTTTCACTGTCCCCTCGCCCACTTAAGTGTATCACGGTATTTTTCTGAACGTTTCCCTACGCTGAAATCAATCCTTCGTCGAATATTTGAATTCGCGTGCACGGCCAATGAGTGCCGTGCCGGCATTTATCATCGCTGGCGAATGGCCAGTTGCACGGTGCGCTTAAAAAGCACGGTGAAAGCCTCGAGTCATCGCATCCGGTGCTCAAGCACATCACAACCACGTGGTTTTTTTTTTTATTTCGCTTTTGAGTTGATGATTAAAGCTGAGGAGGGAGAAGCGGAAAAATTATTTCATGGTCCCTTTAACTGAAATGTATGATAGTCATACGCAACGTAGTTTCTTGGTTTGGCAAATAGTAGCCTTGAATGGACGTTGTCTCGTGAAAAAAGTTTATATTTTTTTATCATTTGATCTGGATTAAGTCATTATCTCAAATGGTTGCATTATATCACCAAGTCACATTCTCAGGTATTTTCATATTTCTGAGGTCTGTAGTTTATTTTTACGGCCGGAAAAACCGAGTTTCATTTTCTCGATCCGACTTGGTAGGGTAAAAACATAATCAAGACCATTGCTTTGGCTCCGCTAGCTTAGGTAATAATAAAATGATGACCTGCGAATGTTAAACCTAAAGACAGATAACTAAAATAATGATAAATTTATTGACAACCAAAAATAAGGGATTGAGAGAAAATGATCCTAATCCCCTATTTTTTAGAAGTTTTTGCAGAGTTCTTCATAGTTTACTTCTATCCAGACATGTACGTAGCGCGTGAATACTAATGAGTTACTTCTATCCAGTTACTTCTTTTGGTAACGAGTAACCTGTTTCTTTACATTTCTAGAAGAGGAACGAGTAACGTACTTCGTTACTTTAAAGGGATTGTCCGGTCGAAACCGGAAGTACTTATTTAGCTTTTGCGCTCGTTACGTCGAGGAAGCCTTCATGTAGACAAACAACATTTTTATTTTGATATATGATCTCCCGTTATTAACTAAACCTTTCATGAGCGTATGTACGAAACTGAACCCCGAATTTCGCCAGTGTCAATGGCTGACATCCGTATAGCTGCTGCGTGACGTCACAAAACGCAAAGGTTTGTCGGATGGTCGGGTTAACAAGCATTGGTCGATGGATGTCTTGTATTTTGTTTCGAATTATATAGTCTCCTAGGCCAGTGGTTCTCAAATGGGGGTCCGCGAAGGCCTTCTAAGGGTCCGCGAAGCCCTGCTTTATTAGCCAAGCCCAGCAATAATTTTTTTTTTTTTTTAGGTTGAAAACAAATGTTGTAGTTTTCGGGCGAGTTTTTTCGTGTGAACGTCAATAAGAGAGGTCTACTTCACACTAGCCCTTAGTTATATCCATTTATTAAATCATTATTATATTCAACCTATACCTTTCCTCTCCTCTCACCACGAACGGCGTCCTCCATCATCTCCGCCGGTCCACAAGGGGTCCGCGATATATCGATGGTTGAGAACCACTGTCCTAGGCTGTACCCTACTGAAACACGGTTCTTTTATTCCAGTTCCCAAGCATGTGCAGAAAAAGTCACGCCTTTTAGTAGGATATCACTCGAAAACAGCCATATAAGCTTCGAGCAAACGTACGCCATTTCGCGCAAACACAACTGCGACGGCCACTGATCGAATTACGAGCGCCTGCAAAGCAAAGGATGCAGATTTCGCCTCTGAAGCG